ATGATGCATCATCGAGTTGGCACGCGAGTACCCTGACGGGCGGGTCGGGTCGGGTCGGGCGGGCGGGCCCTAACGGGCGGGTCGGGTCGGGTCAGGCGGACATTAAAGTATGTGTGCGCCATCGGAATGGCACCGAGTACCCTATGGGCGGACGGTCCCGTCAGGCGGGCGGACCCCTGACGGCGGGACGGACGGGTCGGGCGGGCGGACCCTATCGGGCGGGTCGGTCGGGTCGGGCGGACATTAAAGTATGGTGCGCCATCGAGTTGGCACGCGAGTACCCTAACGGGCGGGACGGGTCCAGCGGGCGGGCGGACCCTGACGGGCGGGACGGGTCGGGTCGGGCGGGCGGACCCTAACGGGCGGGACGGGTCGGGTCGGGCGGGCAGGACAGTACGGTATGATGCGCCATCGAGTTGGCACGCGAGTACCCTAACGGGCGGGACGGGTCGGGCGGGCGGCCCCTAACGGGCGGGACGGGTCGGGTCGGGTCGGGCAGGACCGGTCGGGTGGGTGGCCCTCGATGATGGATGAGGGAGGAGAGGGGAGGAGGAAGTAGGGAGGGATGAGGGATGTGGGGCGGGGGGACGTAGCGGCAACGAGGGATGGGGGAGGGCGGGAGGGCAGAGAAGGATGGATGAGGAGGAGGAGGAGGAAGAGGAGGAGGAGGAGCAGCAGCAGCAGCAACAGCAGCAGCAGTGTAATGAGAGAGAGTAGCAGGAGGGAACCGCCTCTGTGGAACCCGTCCTGTGGAACCGGTCCTGTGGAACCTGCAATACTGTGGAACCGGGCTTATGGAACCGGTTCTGTGGTACCGGTCCTGCGGAACCGGTCCTGTGGAACCGGTTCCGTGGAACCGGTTCTGCGGAACCGGTCCTGTTGAACCGGTCTTTTTTGAACCGGTCCTTGCTGAACTTGTCGTCTGTTGAACCGGTGTCTGTTGAACTGGTCGTCTGTTGAACCGGTCCCTGTTGAACCGGTCGTCTGTTGAACCGGTCTTCTTCCGCCAAAACAGCTGCACGGTTCCAGGCGCCAGTCGAGCGTTCAAAGGGTTCCAAGACTCCAAAAACCTGCAAAAACTGATGGGTCCGAGAGCACGCTGTCCGGTTCGAATCATTTCAGGGGAGTCCCAGGGGATTGCGGGGTCAGATGCGTTTTTCCTCGGGCGGCCCCGGAAACTCGAAAAGTCCCAGAAAGAACGCAGAATGCCGAAGACGGCCTCCAAGACGGTGCGAAAGGGCCCCGAGTCGCCCGAAGATCGGCCCAAGATGCCCAAGATGGCCCGAAGACGGCCCAAGAAGCCTCCAAGACGTCCCACGGGGCTTTCAAGAGCACCCCCAAGAAGGCCCCAAGAGGCCACAATCATTGAATGGGGGAACGTACCTTTTTCGCATATACGACTTGTCGGCCATCACGGCGTTGAAGACGGTTCCAAGTTCCCCAAAAGAGGCCCCAAGAGGTCCCCAGGACGCCCCAATGAGGCCCCAAAACAGTCCTTTCCTCCTCCATCTCCTCCTCCTCCTCCTCCTCCTCCTCCTCCTCCTCCTCCTCCTCCCCCTCCTCCTCCACCTCCTCCTCCTCCTCCTCCTCCTCCTCCTCCTCCTCCTCTTCCTCCCCTTCCCTTGCTCCTCTTGCTCTCGCTCCTCCTCTGCCTCCTCCTCCTCCTCCCCCTCGGCGCCACGTGGTCGTATTTGCGCCCTGTGCGGCTGCGCACACCTCGCGTGATTTCGGTTTCAAAGGGCAAGGGCGACGGAGGCGACGTGTGACAGAAGTGTGCGAGAGCGCCTCGTCCGCGCAGACCTCGCGTGATTTCGGTTTGAAAGCAAGTGCGAAGGCGGCGACGTCTTGTCGAAGTGTCCGGGGGCGCGCTGTCCAGACAGTTCGAAGACATCGAAATCCAAGGGCAAAGGCAACGGAGGCGACGTGGTCACTCGAATAATTGATAGCGGGAGATTGCAAATTCCCCGTCTTTTTTTTGTCTCTCTCTCTCTCTCTCTTTGACCCGTGGCCTCGAAGACGGCCCCTAGAGATTTTCAATACCTCCCCAGAGAGCCGCAAGAGGGCCCCAAGACCCACCAAAGGAACTCCAAGAGAGCCCTAACAGGCAGCACGGGGATCCCAACAGGGTATATTGGAGGGTGAAAGAAGGGGTCTGCAACAGGGGGTCTGCAGTGGGAGCTGACTGGCCCATGTATGCTCAATATATCGCTGATGTATGTGATCGGGTACGATTGGCATCCAATGTTGGCGGTCATGGAGGGCTAGTCGTTCGTGCCCGCGCGTTGCCCGCGCGGGCAAACGCGCCGTCCATCCATTATCGTTCATGCGTGCAGGCGTTCTTGCATATCGCGCGTGGGGCGGCGAAGTGGAATGCAAGTGTGTCTTGATTGTGCGACCGATAATCGAGTATGTTCCCAAACCATGACTTGTCGACCCCTTCGACAGATTTGGAATGGGCCCCGCGATTTTCCCAAAATGCGCATTCACACTTTCCTTGTTCCGAATATGTGAATTCACATTCTGGCCCTTTCGTGAAGATTCCCATACAAAAGTCCAAGATGCGAATTCACGCCATCCTCCTTCCCAGAATGTGAATTCACATTTTCCTTTTCCCAACATGTGAATTCACATGTTGCTTTTCCCCACAATGTAAATTCACATGTTGCCCTGGCCCTCAAGGTCCATGTCAGATTGGCTTGGCAGATTTTGACACTCACCCCGCCGCTGTTATTCCAACCTTCTCTTCTCGCGCCCTCAGCGCACGTTGCTTTCGTCGCCTTTCCGCAGCCCCCCGACTCCTTGCTTCGTCTCCCCTCAAGTCTCGCGCGCGGGTGCAGGCGGGGAGCTTCAATTGGCTCCACATCGAGCCGCATCGGCGATGCATCGGCGATGCGGCGCGATCCTCCGACCCCATCGACTCCGACCCCATCTAGGAGGCCTACAGACGCACGGAGCCCCACGCATGATGAGCGCGACCTCGAAGCATCCCGGGATCTCAAGCCACTGCAGCGTTTGGGTGCCCAGGGGGAGGCAAAGGGCCCCCGGCCCCCGGAGGGGGGCGGCCAACGGCTCTCCGGCGCCCCGCCTGGGCACCCCCGGAAACGCCTCGGCGAGGCGCAGCTTCTGAGAGCACCCCGAGCGCACGGGCGCTAAGCTCTCGAGAGTATGCGCGCCGCTGTCCTGGAAGCGGCGCCGGAACACTCTGCTCCGCGCCAGAGGAGCGCGCCGGAGGAGCGCGCCAGAGGCGCCGCCAGGGGCCGTGATGCAAGCGCAGATCCAAGGAAGCCGCGCGCGGACCCCCGCAAGCTCGTGTGCCGTGCTGCTTGTCTTGGGGGAGCCAGGAGGTGCCGATATGCGGCTACTGCCCGGACCTCTCCCGGGGTGCGTTGTGACCTGATGTTTTCAAAGCGAATCCAGCGGTGGGGACGAGGGCCTCCCAGGAGGCCCAGAAAGGCGCACACGAGGGCAGGGTAGCGGTGTGGGTGCCTTTTCCTCCTCCGAGCTGTTCTTCTTGGAGAGCGGGGATCAGAGCGGGGGGGTGAGAGGCAACATCAGCGGGGGAGGGGGAAGAGCTCAGGGGAGACCCTGGAAATCCTGTCCCGGGGCCCGGTGAAGGCCCCGGAACACCGACAGACCAAGCATCGACCGCTCTCCTCTGATTCGCTGAAGGCTCGGATCTATACGCCTGGGCACGAAGGCGTCAGCGCGGAACCCAAAGAAAAACAAGAGCTACAGCTTCCCCCCATCCTCCTCCTCCTCCTCCTCCTCCTCCTCCTCCTCCTCCTCCTCCTCTTCCTCCTCCTCCCCCTCCTCCTCCTCCTCCTCCTCCTCCTCCTCCTCCTCCTCAGACCTCTCCTGGGGCGCGCCCTGGCCCGCCTTTCGCGGCGAGTCCAGCCGCGGTGCCGAGGGCCTCCCAGGAGGCCCTAGAGCTGATGGGCACTTGCGCTGCATCAGAAAGCGCAAGATCGCATAAGAAGGGCATGCGTCGCATAAGAAGGCCATGCGCTGATGCACGCCATGCGTCGCATAAGAAGGCCTGGACTCATCATAGAAACCACTTGGCAGGCGACACGCTGTGTCCACCTATGCGAGCGTGCTGCCAACAGCACCATGGGGACTTGCTTCCACTGTGGGTGGCGAAGCATAGCCGTGCGAGCATCGCGCGAGGAGGCGGCAGGGGCGCCGAGGCGAGGGAGGAGGGGAACACGCTGGAGTGAGCTTCTTGGGGTGCGCAAGGATGCAGGACCGCAGAGGAGGAGGAGGAGGAGGAGGAGGAGGAGGAGGAGGAGGAGGAGGAGGAGCTGATGGGCACAGGCCGCCGCGACGCCCCTGTCGCTCCACAGGAGCGCCGCGACGGGCGCGAAGGCCGCAGAGCGGGCGGCCCGAGCCCCCCCCCCACCCCCCCCAGCCCTGCGCCCTTCGGGCCCGCCCTGGGCGCCCCCCTGGGCGACTGGGGCCGCGCGGGGCCCTGTCGGGCCTGCCCCCGCGCCCCGAGCAGCTCGAGGCGGAGGCGCTTCGCGGCGCCTGGCCTAGCTGGGGCCCTCGCCGAGTCCCGGGGGGCCGCGGGCAAAACGGACTCGGGATGAGGAGCTGGCCCCAGGAAGATTGAGCAGGGACCGACCGTCCCAGCATTTCTACAGGCCTACCCCAAACATGTTCTAAGAACAAGAGCAATGTTCTTAGAACATGAACCCGATGTGTTAAAACAAGGCAGACTCAGCCAGACAGATTCTAAGAACATTTCGTGCAAACCCAAAAAGGTTCTTGGAACATTCTTTGGTATGCCTATAGGCGAGCCAGGACGCTTCGCCAACTGCAAGAAGGTCCAGACCTCCGGGGGGGCCCGCATGGAGAAAGTCAAAAAAGGCAGCATCGGGGGCCTGGGCGGGGGCCACGTCCCGAGGGAAACTGCACGGCGACCAGAAAACATACATACGACGCCGTTCCTGCCGCTGGAGGGCCGCATCGCGTCGGCAAGGGGCGGCATGGGGTCGGCGCCGCGTCGGCGATGTCGCGCACCTGCCCTGGCAACAAACGGCACGCGCTCTGTTTATACGAACGCCGCCCTCCGCTTCAGGCTGCGGCGGGAAATGCGCCGGCGACCGTCTCCTCGGCCGCGGCGCTGAGCGGGCGGCCCCCCGGCAGGATCGCCTCGACGCGCCAGGCTCCGGGGCCCAGCCTGCCCGCGCGGTGCTCGGCCACGAGCTGGAGGTGGATGTCTGCGAGGCGGGCGGTGGGCGCCGCCCTGATCCTGCATCGCTCCACCCCGCCGATGGTGACGAAAACCATGGAGCCGCCATCGAGCGACACCTGCAGGAGCAGCGCTGGAAGCAAATGAGCTGTGTAGGTCAGGCCCGCGGGCAGCGCCGGGAGGTCGCACTGACCATCATCATTCCAGCCGCAGGCCACGGCGGTGCCGTCGCTCCTGAGCAGCACCGTGTGGCGCCATCCAGCGGCGACCTGCGTGTAGGTCAGGCCCGCGGGCAGCGCCGGGAGGTCGCTCTGACCATCAGCATTCCAGCCGCAGGCCACGGCGGTGCCGTCGCTCCTGAGCAGCACCGTGTGGCGCCCTCCAGCGGCGACCTGCGTGTAGGTCAGGCCCGCGGGCAGCGCCGGGAGGTCGCACTGATCATCATCATTCCGGCCGCAGGCCACGGCGGTGCCGTCGCTCCTGAGCAGCACCGTGTGGCGCCCTCCAGCGGCGACCTGCGTGTAGGTCAGGCCCGCGGGCAGCGCCGGGAGGTCGCTCTGACCAAAAGCATTCCAGCCGCAGGCCACGGCGGTGCCGTCGCTCCTGAGCAGCACCGTGTGGCTCCATCCAGCGGCGACCTGCGTGTAGGTCAGGCCCGCGGGTAGCGCCGGGAGGACGCACTGTCCATCATCATTGTCGCCGCAGGCCACGGCGGTGCCGTCGCTCCTGAGCAGCACCGTGTGGAGCCCTCCAGCGGCGACCTGCGTGTAGGTCAGGCCCGCGGGCAGCGCCGGGAGGTCGCACTGACCTAAATCATTGCTGCCGCGGGCCACGGCGGTGCCGTCGCTCCTGAGCAGCACCGTGTGGGGCCATCCAGCGGCGACCTGACTGTAGGTCAGGCCCGCGGGCAGCGCCGGGAGGTCGCACCGACCATCAGCATTGCTGCCGCGGGCCACGGCGGTGCCGTCGCTCCTGAGCAGCACCGTGTGGCCATATCCAGCGGCCAGCATCTGCAGAAAACGAGGGAAGGGTAGCGGCGTGGGTACCTTGTCCTCCTCTGAGCCAGCGCGGAACGCTGCAGTGGAAGCGAGGGCGCGTACGCGCGACCTGGCGCGTGCAGCTTGCGCGCGGATGCCCGGGCAGACTGCCCCGTCTCTCCCTCTCCACGGAGCCTGGGCCCCTCGAGCAGCGGTCCCGAGAGAGAGGCCCGGGGGCCTGCCCCGAGGTCCGGCGCTGGAAGATAGAGGCAACATCGCGGACCGTCGCGACCAGAGCCCGGCGGCGAGCGAGGGGCGGAAGTGAGAAGGAGGTGGTCTTCTCAGAAGGCGGCGGGATTTCTCAGGAGCCCTCGCGCCTTCCGGGAAGCTTTCTGTGCCTTCGGGGGAGGCTTAGGAAACATACCATAAGGCTGGGGGACTTCCGAACCTTTTGAGAAGGCCTCCTCCTTCTCACTTCCCCCCTCGCTCGCCGCCGGAAAATAGATGCACCATCGCAAACAGTCGCGACCAGAGCCCTGGACTTATGTTACTCCCATCGTACTTAAGGACCATACCCCAGAAATGTGCTGTCGAGCACCCAGGCAAGTATCGAGACAGTGTCTGCCCGACACGCTGGCGAAATGTCGAACGAATATCGCCTGCCAGGGCCCGACACGTGAACACCCTCCGGTGTCGGCATGTTCATGGCGCTCGAAATTCGCTCTGGTGGTCAAGGCTGAAGTGTGTTGGAACATCTTCACCCTAGACCCGATCACCCTGCTACATGTGTCGAGCAGGATGGATCTGTGATGGCCCCGGGGCCCGAAACCAAGCCACCACGCCAGGTGTGAAAACACTGCAGCGCTCGGATCTCGGGGTGCTGCGACTGGCGCCGATATCCAGGCCCGCGCCTCGAGCAATCCTGCCAAGCGCCTCGAGCAGTCCTGCCAGGCCAGAGGCACGGCCGCCCCCCTCGCCCTGGGAGGGGGCTCGGTGCACGTCGCCTGGTCGGCAGGGGAGCTCGGCTCGTAGACGCCCCAGCTGCCCAGGCCGTGGGATGCTGGAGCGCCCGTACTTTTTTTGGCGATCGCGGCCTCGCGCGCAGCGTCGGGGCGGAGCAGGGCGAGCAGACGGCACAGAGCCAACGCGCCCGGCTGGAGCGTCCGTGCACCCGATGCCGTCGCCGAGTCCGCTGGCTCCCTGGCCGACCAGACGACGCGGCGGTGCATGTTCCAGGGCTCCCGGCCCGCGGGCCCCGCCCCCCCAGATGGGATGGGTCCCAGGGAACCGCGGGCCCCCTGGCTCCACATCGAGCCGCATCGGCGATGCATCGGCGATGCATCGGCGATGCGACGCGGGCCTTGGAACAGAGTTATATATGTATATATACATATACATATACACATATATATACACACATACCTACCTGCCTACCTACCTACCTACCTACCTACCTACCTACATACATACATACATACATACATACATACATACATACATACACACATACACACAATCACACACACATACATATACATGTATATATATTATATATTTGTATATATATATATATATATGTCACGAGTGTACCGGCTCGCTGCGCTTCGCCTTTACAACTTTGGTCGCATGGCGCCTGGGAATCGTTCTGGGACACATGGCCGGCAATGCTTGTCGCTGTCGTAGGGTTCATGGGCGGCCGTTGGGCCTTCGGGCGTATAGGGATCGGAGGAGCCAGTGTGCATAGGGCTCAAGAGGCTTGTTTAGGCCGCAGAGGCCGTATGGCTCATAGGGCTTTGGCTTCGGAAGATGTCCCTGGCGCCTTCGGCGCCAGGGACGGGTTTGAACATCTCGGGACCTCCTTCTGGCCTTGTGGCCCTTCGCGCTGGTCTCTGGGTCCTCCATGGGGTGTTCTGGCGCCTCATGAGCCTTCATGTAGGCCTGTGGGGCTGGATGGCTCGGATTGTGGTTTCGCGTTTCTTCTCTTGGGCGTTTCTCGGAGCAGTCTTGAAGCCCTCTTCGGGCAGTCTTTGAGGCCGTCTTGTGCCGTCTTGCGGCTTTCTTGAGCTGTCTCAGGGTGTTGCCTAGGGGTCTCTTGGGCCGTCGTTGGCGGTCTTGGGGTGTGTTTTAAAATGTCGCCGAGATTCGGGGCGATGAACTCGGGTAGTTGAAGCAATCTGGCAAGCGGGAGAGCATGCAGAATCTCAAAAGGCGAGAGAAGCCGCGAGTTGGACCAGGAGGAAGCGCGGGGAGGCGGCGGAGGAGGAGGAGGAGGAGGAGGAGGAGGGGGAGGGGGAGGGGGAGGAGGAGGAGGAGGAGGAGGAGGAGGAGGAGGAGGAGGAGGAGGAGGAGGAGTAGCGAGCGCATGAGGGGACGCGCCGAGTCGGGATACGGGACAAAGAGCAGACGATTGGGAAAAATGAGATAACGCACAATCTCTCACAGACAGAGTGGGGAACACGAATGGGCTGACCCAAACATATCCCCTTGCACACGCCTGACGACGGCCTGTGCAGCAGAGACAGGCCAGGAAGCTGGCCTGGGCACGGGGCCGATCCAAAAACCAGACCCCGCAGAAACATTAAGAACAAAACGAATTGAAACGAATTCACGAGGCTAGCCCAAGCCACTCCACAGCGGGGTCCGAGACCAACATGCGCCGAGGGAGGGGGATGGGGTGCTTGCGGCCCTCGCTGGGGTGCCGCCCCTCCGCGAAATTATTCCGCCTCCATTTCCTCTGAGGGTTGCCCTCAAAGGCCTTGGGGCCCTCACATTCATTATAAAGCTGGGATCGGTGAGCACGCTCCGAAAAGGATCCGCAGCGCATGCATCCAACCACGTCGCCCGCACGGTAGAGCACATGGCCTCGAGAGGCCTGAGGGGGGACCGTCCCCTCCGCAGGGAGCACCGTGCTGGGAGGGGCGGCGTTGGCCCTCGTAGTGGCCGCCGCGAGCCTAGGGCGCTTCTCCGAGCCAATCGGGGGATCAAGGGCGACCGTGGCTTCCCTAACACGAGTCTGGACAAGCGGCTCAAACTGCACTCTCGGCTTGACCCTACGTGGGGGTCGGATGAACGCCTCAGCCTCCTCGACCTCAGGCCTCCTAGACTTACCCACAATCCTAACCCGCGGGCTCGGTTGGGGAGGAGGAGGAGGAGGAGGAGGAGGGTCAGAGGACGAAGTAGGGGAAGAGGGAGGATCACCGCGCTGCGCCTTCCTCCCAGGGCCGTCCACGTCCAGACCGCCTCCTCGGCCGTCTTGGCAGCCCAGTGGCCTCTTGGGGGCCTGACGGGGGCCAAGGGGGGGGGGCTCCGCGGGACCTCATCAGGGCTGGACTGGGGCTCGGGGGCCTGAGGTTCCGAGGGGCGGTGCACTGTACACACCTCGAGGGCCAGGCGCTTACGTCCAGATGCCGTCCGCGCGAAGCGCTGACAGTATTTACATCTCCATCCTCGAGCCAGCGCGGGCCTGATGTCGTGCAGGCGCTGGCTCTTAGTCAGAACTGGCCGCTGGTGTCCAGGCCGACGGCGTTGCTGAAGTCGTCGGCGTGGCTTGCGCACAGGCGGTGACTGGCGGTCCTGGTTCCCAACCAACGTCCATAGAGGACCCAATCCAGCACGCAACCTGCCTGACAATGTTGATCATGTTCGAGTGGAGCTGAATGGCTTCCGACGGCAACGCGTGCATAGCCAGCCCCCTCTTTGCTGCAACATCTGCATAATCATTGCCCTTCTTGTCAACTGTGGCCTCGCCTTGAGTCTGGTGCGATCGAACATATGAGATCTCCAGCTGCGAGGACAAACCTCCATGATCTTGGACGGCCTGCCATAATATTCTCCACAAATCACAATTCGGCCTGCGTGGGTGCGTGCACCACTCTGGCCCGCATGTGAGGCCTTCCACGATGCCCAGGCAGTCCGTGCGAATGCGTATCGGCAGCATCCCATGGCGTAGTACTTGAATGACAGCATATAGTTCAGCACGAGGAACTGATTGCTGTTGTCCTGGGAGAGGTCCGTACGCAATCCCACGAAGAGCCTGACCTGTCATCATCGCGATTCCCCAGCCTGCTCTGTTGGCTTCGGGCCAGGCTATGGGGGAGAGCCCTGATCCGTCCGTGTAGATATCTCCCGTCAGCATGATCATGCCACCTCCATGGGCGAACCTCCAGGCATCCGCCATGGCTGGTGGCGGAATACCAGGCAGGGCGCCCCTCGGCATCAGGCCTCTGGTGAAAAAGAGGTCGTTGTGAGGTGAGGCCCGAGCCGCCTGGATGATGTCAGCGTCAACTGCGGCCTCTCGTTCTTGTTGGAGCAAAGGGCAGGACCATAGACGATGATGTGCTGTTCCAGGGCAGTCCAAGCAATACTGGCACAAGTTATCAGTAGCATATCCATGTTTGCGCAGTCGAGCCTGGGACCACTGGCCACCTATGATTGAGTTGCGTAGTGCTGCTCGAGCCTGCTCCGATAAGTGCCATTTCTTGGCCAGATCCTCCGGCGCCAGCAGCATCTTGAGAGGGCCCATCCAGTAACCACAAGGTCTCCTGAGTGGTGGTTCGTCCTCTGGCGCATGATCGTGCTGGCGGCTCCAATCTTCAAACTTCACGTTGACAAAGTCCCGTCTTGCGAGAACTCTGAGCCACTCAGGGCTGTCAGTAGTGGGGTCCAAGGCTGTACCTGCGCATGTAGACCATGCCGTCGCCGTCGTCGCACGCCAATTGAGAGTATGAAGTGCCACCAATACGGCTCCTGCAGGGCCTGCCACTTCAGCATGCTTCGGGGTGGGTCCTAAGATCTGGCGCTGCTGGAGGAAAGCCTTCTCCAGCACATAGTTGGGCACCTTGATGTCTTGGACGAGCATGGCCCAGGTGCAGAGGGGGCCCACGATCGCCATCAGCCCAGGGTGTTCAAAGAAACGCGGCTCTAGCTGAGCCGCCAACCAAACTGAGGTGCCTGGAGGAGTGCGCCGCCAACCCGCTCGAACCATGCTGACCATCG